TGCAAGAAGTAGATAAAACAATGTTTTCAGAACTAATAATTTCCTGTATAAAGTTAGAAAACTAGTTTTGAAAAGTACAAATATATAATAATAGCAAAATACTATTTCCCTGCAACTGTGTTGTGCAAAAATGGAACATCTTGATTCAATGTAAATCAAAGAAAATAAAGACATTCTGATAATTCTACTAATTAATCAGCATCCTTCCTTTTGCCTTTTATTTGACTGTCTTTAAAAACCGTGGACTTTGTAACCAAATTAGTAGCTGATACGCATGCCAGCCAAAGGGAAGTATCCCTTTGTCAGAGAGAGAACTCTGCACCTTCTAACATATTTTTCTCAAATAAAGACAGAACCAGAGCTTTTATTCTCACATTCATCCACGAATCATGGGAGATGGACATATGGGAGGGAAAGGGAGCATAGCAACAGGTGATGCTACACCAGACCCCACTAAAACCAACATGCAGCAAGACAAGAGGCCAGCCAAGAGGACCATCTGATACCCAGATGCCACTGCTGAAAAAATTCATTTCAGAGCTTGGCAGCAATTTCCTGCATCTGTCAAGTTAACCACATAAAAGACTATAGATTGACATGAAGAACCAGGCTGACAAAGAGGGCAAAAAAGAACATATCAAATGCCATAATCATCAAGAGAATTTGGTGCCAAATGAATGTTGCAAATGCATTCATTTACTCAAGTGATTGGAGATTGTATTGCTGTTTATTAAAAATGATGTCAAAAGAAGCCTGAACTGTCTACAGAAACATGTAGGAAAAACCCAATATTGTATTTTAACAGAAACTTTTTTCCCTGTAATTTCTCTTTTCAGTTTTACAGACTGCACTTAAGAGCAAATAGAGATTTTTTTTTTTTTAATATGCTTCAAAGGGATTCACAGTCTATGCAGATCTTACTTCTCCCAGGGAAGAAAACATATTTTTAAAAGACTAGAGAGAATATAGGGAGTTCTGTTGGTTGAGTGAGTAAGGAATTACACTGCCAATCCAAAGGCCAGTAGTTCGAATTCTCTAGAAGGTCTGTAGAGCAAAGATGGCAAGCCTCCTCCCATGTGATTTACAGCCTGTGAAACCTGCTGAAGAGTCAGCTATGAAGTAGTTCCAACTTGATGGCACATAACAACAACAGAAAGAATATATGGATGTATTTCTCCCCACATACAGAAATCTGCATTTTGCAAATGACACAACCCTGCTTGCTGAAACTGAGGAGGACCTAAAGCGCTTGCTGCAGAAGGTCAAAGACTGCAGCCTTCAATATGGATTGAAGCTCAACATCAAGAAAACAAAGATTCTCATCACTGGGCCAATCGGAAGCATTATAATAGATGGTGAAGAGACTAAGATTGTTAACAATTTCAGTTTGCTTGGCTCCACAATCAACACTCTCGGTATGAGGAGCCAGGAAATAAAAAAAAAAAAACAAAAAACTAATTGTACTGGGAAAGTCTGCTGTCAGGGACCTCTCCAGAATACTGAAGAGCAATGATATCAGTCTAGAGACTAAGGTGCACCTGATCCAGGCCATAGTCTTTGAAATTACTTGCTATATGTCAGAAAGCTAGACAATGACTAGGAATGACAGAAAGAAAATTAATGTCTTTGAGCTGGAGAAGAGTGCTGAATACAGCATGGACTGCCACAAAAACAAACAGGTTCATCCCAGAGGGGGTAAAGCTAGGCTACTCCTTGGAAACAAGGATTCTGAAGCTTTATCTGACATATTTTGGGCATGTTGCAAGGAGTGACCATTCTTTAGAGAGGGACATCATGTTTGGAAGGGTGGAGGGACAGGGCAAGACAGGAAAACCCTCAATGAGATGGATTGATTCAGTGACTGAGGTAATGGGAGTGGGTGTGTCAAAGACAGTAAGGTTGGCTCAGGATAGAGCAGCGCTATTGTACATAGGGTTGCTATGAGTCACAAGCGGCACGATGCCACATAACAACAGTCTCCGTATATGATTTCCATGATACCCGCCATTTTCACATATCTCCATGTGCAACTTTTATCACTCTTGAGGAAACAAAAGTTCATTGTAGCAAGTTTTGCTGATTTTTAGTTCTTTCCTTGTAAGACAGCCACAGCAGTAAGTCACTACTTAGACAGTGAGTTGAACTGAGCCCCTGAACTAAGCACAGCTTCATAGGGTAACACCCAGCAAATGACAAAAATCAAATGAGTTCGAATAAAACCATTTTTTTATGGTAATATCATTGTACCTCCTAATTGCCATAGAGTAGATTCCAACTAATGGCAACCTCATGTGGAACTGAAGGGAAAAATGAAAAGACTTGACAAGTTTGAGAGATGTCATGGATATCTGATGTAGACTTAGATACACAATGTGGAGTCTTATCAGGTTTCTGGTACAGAAACTAGAAAACATGATTCATCAAAACATTTCAGGGGACACTTAAAGTAATCCAAATGAAGTTTTTTTGGGTGAGGGAAAAATCATTAGTGAAAGCTGAAAGTGTAGTTAGTTTGTAGTCAAGGATTATGCTCAAGAAAACATGTGACTTGGGGTGAAAATATGGTGCAAGTTAAAGCCAGGAGACTGCAAACGTTTCAATGAAGGAATTAAGAACAAGCAGAACAAACCGTTACTCTGAGTCAAGAGTATTTCCAGAAGGTGACTTTGTTGTTGCTGTTAGCAGGAAAACCACTGTCAATAGAACAGATAATATTGACACCTAGAGTGATTCACTGCAGATTAGTAGTAAGTAAACAGAAGTTCCAAGATCAGTATATAATGCTCTCCAGTCCCTCTTATGTTGGGTCTTAAGTTACAAAATCATTGCTCCTGCGTGCTGCATATTTTTTCCACTGTGTTTATGTACCATTATGCTACATGAACTAACTCAGTCTCATAAGGACAAATACTACTTAAGACTCTTATTGTGGAATGAGTACGAAGATCCAAGGGCGGAGGGAGGCTTAATCATAGGGTCACACAATGTGATGAGTGGAGGGAGGAGTGGGTAAAGGAAAGGGGAAAGATCTGCTGTGAAAAACAATGTTTGCAAACTTTATGAACTTTGTATGTAAACCAGTATAAAATAAACAACAACAACAACAACAGATCAGTATATAAATACAAGGAACCCCATGCTTACTTACTTTGCTGGATATAACTTTGGGTACTACAACCCTGATTATAGGCCAAAAAGGTATAGTCTGAGTAGATAGACTATATCTTTATTAGAAAGTATTCACTTTGAAAATATAGAGGAGGATGGAGTGTTATGATTAAAAAATGGCTGAAACAGGACTTTTCTACTTTGTGGTCCTCCACGTAATTTAATACAGTTAACATATTTGGATACTAACCAAAAGCTTAGTAGTAGGCCTTCTGAAAAGTCAGCCTTTAAAAGAAAATCCTTGGGGCACAGGTCTACTCTGACATATATAGGATCACTAGTCATGGAATATTCAATAAGCAAGGTAAGCACATAACAATAACAGGTTTACCTGCACTCACCTTTCTTTACTGGGTACTCCATCCCTGTCAGGGATAGTGAATTTGAATAGAGAGTTTGAGTCTATAAGAAGATGCTGTAGACCTAGTACAGAGAGAGATGACATCCACACCTAGAAGTGGAATCTTTGATGTGATTTTAAAAACTGTGACATTTTCATTATGTTGTTGTTGTTATGTGCCATTGAGTCACCTATGCCACATAGTGACCCTATGTACATAAACTCTTAACCCTGTCAATCTCGTCATCTACAAAAGACCTAACCCCATTTCTCCAGTCACTGAGTCAATTCATCTCATTCTGGGTCTTCCCCTCCTGTGCTGTCCCTCCACCCTTCCAAGCATGACTGGTCTGGCCACGTGTCCAAAGTATGTGAGACAGCTAAAACAGGAGAGTTTTGGGTTTTGTTTAGTTGGGTGAGGGTTGGTTTTTTTATACTAAAAACATGTAAAAAAATTATAAGCAGTGCTTGTAGTATGAGAAAATGTATTTTGCACTTACAAAATATTGGGAGTTTTGCTGGTCTAATGGCAATAAACTGTGCCCCAAGGCACACAGTTTTAATCCACCAGCTGCTCCATGGGAGAAAGACAGGCAGTCTCCTCCCTAGCATTTAGCTGCCTCTGAAGACCCACTGGAGGGTCAGCTATGGGTCAATTCTGACTCTATGGTACACAACAACAACAACAACAACAAAAATATTAATAATGCTATCTCTAGATAATAAATTCTTAAATGTTTTCTGTATTTTTCTTTTAACTTTTTATTGTCTGATTTTTAAAGTGAATATATAAAATAATATTTGTAAGAAAAGCACAGATTTTTATCATTTTATAAAATAGCTGCTATCTAAGAAAAATGTTTTCTTACTTCTTAGATCATGGTAGAGTAACACTAAAAGTATTATCCAACTAAAAGTGTTAGAACATATTTTATTGACTTACATAAATGAATATGTTGTTAGATGCCATCAAGTAGAATTCATAACAACACTATGAACAAAAGATCGAACACTATTTGAGCTGTGCTTTCTCACAATCGGTGACACACTCAAGGCCATTGCTGTAGTCACTTTGGCAATCCACCTGGTTGAGGGTTTTCCTCTCCTTCACCATCCCTCAACTTTTCCACGTATGATTCCTTCTCCAAGGAACAGCCTCTCCGAGCAACATGCCCTAAGTATGTGAGACGAAGCTTTACAATCCTCATCTCCAAAGAACATACTGGCTGCACTTTCTTCAAGATATATCTGTTTGATCTTTTGGCAGTTCATGGAATATTCAGTTCTCTTCTTATACACCACAGTTCAAAGGCATCAGTTCTTCTGTCATCCTTATTGATTGTCCAGTTCTCAGCAACATAGCAAGTGATTGAAAAGACCATGGCCTCAATCAGGCACATCTTAGTCCTCATAATTTATCTATTTAAATTAATATAAATTGTGGATTTTTACAGAGTCATTGTAAGGCTAATATTTGAAGATTCAATAAAATTTTTATCTATAAGTATTAGATAAATGGTTATTAAACTTCTGAGGGTTGTAGGCAAAACAAAACTCTACTTTAAGATGACCTAGTTCAGTTTTATTCTGTTGTTGTTGTTGTTAGATGTTGCCAATTCATAGCAGATGAATAGCTGACCTGAACTCTGTCCTGTTCTGTCCTGTCCTGTGCCATCATCATCTGACACACTTGAGCTCATTGCTGAAGTGATTGTGTCAACCCAATCTCACTAAGGATCTTCCTTCATCTCCTTCACTGATCCTCCATCTTTCCAAGAGTGATTTGTGGTTCTGGAGAAGCATACTGAATATTCCATGGACTGCCAAAAGAACAAACAGGTATGTCTTGGAAAAAGGGCAGCTAGAGTGCTCCTTGGAGGCAAAGGTGGTAAAGCCTTGTCTTTCATGTTTTGGACATGTATCTAGGCAAGGTTATTTTTGGAAAGGGACATCTTGCTAGGAAAGTAGTGTTCTGTACCTGGCAATATTGGGTTGTGTGGTGTTAGGACTTTTGAGAGTAGCTTTTACAGCTATTGCCTTAGCTCCCTCTGGGGGCAGTCTCTTGCTACCTCAACTGCAGGCACTAGGCTCACTGTTGATCAGGCTCTTTCAACATCATCAACAGCTGTGAGGCCAACATAAAAAAGAGAGCTAACCAGACTATTAGCGATACTGTGGCAAGATGTAGCCAGCCACAGCCAGAGCCAGGCCTTTCAAAACAGGAACCTCAACACCAGAAAGTTAGAGAAAAAGAAAAAGTACCATGCACCTTTTGAGCCAGAGTTTCCTGCACGAAAGAAAGGTATTTTGCTAAGACTGAGAAGCTGCCTGGATTAATTGAGGGACTGTATCCTGAAGTTGACTAAGAAGCTATTGGAACTGATTGAGGGATTGTGTTTTGCTGCTAACCTGGCTTGGGACTGCTATTCACTAAATCTGAGCTTTCACTGTGTGACATCCTTTGTCTTCCCTCCTCAACCTGTTTCCCTAATAAGCTCTACAACTGTGAGTAAAGAGAGGCTCTATAAAGTCTGTGTGGTCATTTCCAGTAAATAATGATCTAAAAATTAGTAGAAGTTGGAATTGGGGGCCTTGTCTGACCTTACAGAGATTCGTTTTATACTGTGGATGTTGTTGATGGGGACAGTTCCCCTTTGTGGAATCAGAAGAAGTCAGATATACTGTCCTCACACTGTCTTTGCTCCTTTTACAGTTTGTGAGCATCAAATGTTTAATTTTCAAATATGTTTTCTACTCGGTGATGTCACACTGATTCCTTTATAGCAGCCATGGTTAAAATAGTCACAACACAGAAACTGGCATACACTATAAATCAAGATTTTTTTCCTCTCACAGCCATTAAATATTTACTAACACACACCAGGGAGTGCTGGTTCCACAAGGAATTGCAATGCTAGCCCAAAGATCAAATTCTTTAGCAATTTGAGTCCATCAGCTATTCTGTAGAAGAATGATAGGCAGTCTCCTCCCTTGTAATTTTTAGTCTCAGAAACCCAATGGAGACAAAGCCAAATGGATATGAATCAATATTAGCCAAGGCAGAATGATTTGAACTAAAGCAAATGTTAAAATATACCTTTAGCTTATGCTCTTTTCTGTTGATGATGACAGCTGTAATTTGTTGGTCCATAAAAATTAGAATAGTGCAGAGCAAAGCTGGAATAATAGCAGCTATTATTGTCCACCATGGATTTGGACCTAAAGGTGTCACAAACCAGCCACGATCATCTCTTGTGGGCTGTGAAAAAGGAAAGAATATATACGGAGTTATTAGCTGAATTTAAAAAATAAGTAAACCATACGGATACTAAAAGAAACTCTTATACATTAAGGTGCTGAGTGGAAAGTATTTAATAACCAGTTCTTGCAAAGAATTTCTAGGGTACCAGGCACAATTCTAGAACGTTTGAGCATCTGTACTCAGTTTCTCTTACAGCACCCTAAAGGAGCTGATAAAGATAAGGAAACTGAAGTAGAAAAAGTCAGCTGGTCAGAATTCTATATCAAACTTATTTATTATATCTGTACTGTATTTCAGCCTTATCCACTATGTAATTCTGCCTTGTCATAAAATGAACCAATGCAATGTGTTTCTTTTCATTTCAAAGTATTTCTTTTTCTTTCAGAAACACTATATGTTCTAACTGGGAATATTAGTAGGAAAATATTAAGTATTCTCTAGGTTATTTTCTTTTTACTTTTTTTTAAAAAAAATATGTTGTTGTTGTTGTTATGTGCCGTCGAGTCGCCTGCGACTCATAGCGACCCTATGTACAACAGCCCTAAACTCCGC